CTGTTGTCTGGTTGTAACAGCTTATTTGCCCATTAACTTGGTTGCTTCCTAGTGTTGGCAATTATGAAGAAGTCTGCTTAAATATCTGCATATAAACATGTGCACGTTTTTGTATGGACATAAGTTTTCAGCTCCTCTGGGTAACTACCAAGGAGTGCGACTGCTGAATCTATGGTAAGAATACTTTTTTTTGTACAAAAGCATCTTCCAAAATAGCTGTACCATTTTGCATTCCCACCAGTAATGAATGAGAGTTCCTCTTACCCCAAATTCTCATCAGCATTTGGTGTTGTCAGTGTTCAGAATTTGGATATTCTAATAGGTGTGTAGTGGTATCTCATTATTGTTTGAATTTGCATTTCCCTGATGACTTACAATATAGAGCACCTTTTCATATGCTTATTTGCCATCTGTATATCTTCTTGATAAATGTCTGTTAAGGTCTTTGGCCCATTTTTAATCAAGTTGTTCATTTTTTTATTGTCATAGTTCTTACTATATTTTGTACAACAGTCTTTTATCAGATGTGTCTTTTGCAAGTATTTTCTCCAGTCTGGCTTGTCTTCTAATCCTCTTGAAAAATATTCTTTTTTAATACATAAAATTGGAACCCACAGTTGGAGAAGGAATTTCACCAATAACTAAGAGTGTGTCGGAAAATAGCTCTCATCTCCCTGACAGTGACATCTCCTGCTGGCTTTAATTACATACTTTATCTCTTTCCAACTATTTCATTACTTAAGTGTTAGTCAGCTGAAGTAGCATCATCATCACCCTTTTCTGCTGATCTATGATCCTTCTTTGGGAGACCATTCCACCTTTGTAAAAGTGTGCTGATGGTTTCAAGGTTCAAAGCAAGCTCAGATGAAATGCACAGCATTGTCATCCCTAGAACTGTGAACAGTAATTAGATTCCACATGATTCAGCAATGATTACCTCTACTTAGGTTACACCTAAGGGTGCCTCAATAACTAAATACGTGGAATTTGTGTTTATAAGAATTAATCTAAAATCTAGTTGTCCTCCCCTCCCCTCTTGTCATACTTTTCTACTAAAATATGTTCTCCAAAATGAGGACAAATGCTTTAGGCTTAATTCTATTTGTATAAGGACTACTTTTAAAATAGCAGCAGAACACTCTTGAGAGTGGTAACCAAGCATTTCACACCATCTCTTCATTTTTACTGTGAGGACTTTAGAAATTTCCATCCTATGCTCGGTAAATGGTACTCTTATTCCTGAGTGAGCCTTAACAATGCTGTTATGAAATCTTTTATTTTTCTTGGGGGAGATCTTAAAAAGATCAGAGAAATACATTCAACTATCTATATTTCCTTTACTAGCTACTACGAATCTACCAGCAAGTATTTATCTAAAAGAGAAGTCAGTAAACTATAATTCTGAGGCCAAATGGGACCCACTACCCATTTTTATAAATAAAGTTTTATTGGAATACAATCATGTCATTCATTTATGTACCATCTATGAATGCTTTTGTACTTCAACAGCAGAGGTGACCTTGAGACCTGCAAAGCCAAAAAATATTCACTATTTGGCTCTTCACAGAAAAAAAAATTGCTAACCCTTGATTTGAACCCTTCTTGAAGTGATTTGTACCATTAATCAATACCTCTTACTGAAATAGTGCATTCTATAAATAACTTACTTTATAAAATAAGGATTTTTTTATCTGCTCAAATTACATCTTCCAAGCTTCAAAAAGTACCCCCTAATTGCAACATGCTATGTCCTGGTGAATAAATTCCTATTCTCACTAGTGTAGTTAGAAGAACAACAGCCTAGGAAATAGGAATAGGAAGATAAAAGCTTCTGTCTCACTCAGTTTCTCCAACTACAACAAAAGGATAATCCTCATTCTTCAGGGATATTTTTAAGATCAAAGTAGATCATATGCCCTTGTAAAAAATTGTATTATGTCTGATCATACAGATTACAATGTTTTGTTTTCTCCATTTCCAGCTTCACTGACTGTAGTCGGAACTTGTTTTAGATGCTATCTGTGTGACAGTCTGACCAACCTTATCATTCATTTAGTTACTCTGCCACTGCCAATTTCTTCTTTGAGTGTGCATCTCTTAGTATGCCTTATTACCATCCTCATCCTTTCTGCCCTCTCAGATCTGTCCACTCATTTACTCTAATCTACTTGTACCCACTGTTTTTCTCACACTGGCTTTTACTATAATGCCTCAGATTTATCCAGATGGGACAAATAGATTCTGGTCTAGGGGCATGCTTAAGAGGGACACTGCCTAGTAGAGAGGTCAGCAACATCAGTTTTCATGAGTTTCAACAAGGCTGTTAACCCTACTCTCTTTTATTTTCACAGAAATTTCACTATCATCTAGTCCAATGGCTTTTGACTTTTTTTAAAGCATATAACCCCTTCTTCAAGTGAAACCTTAAGAAGAAGCCACCAGTCACCATGGGGGATGGGGACAGTGAATGGGTGAGTGAAACAGATGAAGGGGATAAAGAGGCACAAAATCTCAATCATAATATAAATTAGTTATGGGGATGAAAGTAAACCAGAGAGAAAATAGTCAATGGTTCTGTATCATCCTTCTTTGCTGACAGATAGTAACTATATTAGTTGGGCTTAACATTTAATAATGTAGATAACTGTTGAATCACCATGTTGTATACTTGAAACTAATATAATATTGTATTATCAAGTATATTTCAATAAAATATAACAGGAAGAGAATTTAAAAAAAAAGAAGAAACCCAACAGGTGAAGCATGTGAAGGAGGAGGGCATTGGACTGGTTGAGATTGGAGACGGGAGGTAAGGGGGTGGGGGGCAGTAGGACGTACTGAGGGGACATCTACCACCTGGAGGGTGGAGGGGAGGCTCTCAAGAAGAAATGATGAGCCTGAGGTTGCAGGTTCCATGCGTTTGGTTGGATGAAGTCCAAGGCAATATTCATTTCAATTATTTCATGCTGAAGTAAACAATAGATTCCACTTATTCACTGCAGCTAATGAAGAAAGAAAATGCTAGGTAGTATTTTTGGAAAGTCAGGTCTGCACACAAAAAATAGTTTACCAAAGAGGTTGTGGTGTTCCTAAAGAAGAGATTAAATGAAGTGCAGCTTAAACAGGTTTCTTTAATTGATTCTGAATTGCAGCAGAGTAATGTAGTGCCTTAGAGTCTTTTCTGGCTCTACTTTTTGTAATTCAGCTGCTCTACTGGCTGTTCGACCTTGGACTGGCAAATACAGAACTGGGAGGCTAAATAAAGCTAAATGATAACACTGTGGGAGAAACAAGCCTATCATCTCAATGCCTTTTTGGTCCCCATGGCCCTATCTTCCAGAGGAGTAAAACAAGAAAGGGAGAAGAAGAGAGAGAGAGAGGAAATTATTACATATTTCTTCTCACTAAAATCACTTTCACAGCTACAAGGTTAGTACAAAGTATCAAGGGTGCTACTACGGAAGACCTAAGTCCAACCACATAGCTTTAATATAAGATTTGGACATCCCACCAGAGAAGAAAGAAGGGGGACAGAGGATTCCTGTTGAATTTCATTTGGAAAATATGGCACAAGAGTGTGAACAGTATGGCACAATGGATTCTACAGTCTAAGGAGTCCAATGATCCTCTGCACTATCAAAACCAAGTCTGTTTAACATAAAGATTGAACCACAGGTGTTAACTTTAGGAAGACAGGGCTTCAGGGCCATGCTGTGTCCATTTGTAGCTAGTTGCTTTTGGGATAACAACTCTCTTGACGCTTTATTGTCCTCCTATGGTTAAAAATCAAAACAAAACAAAACAGAAAATAGCATGGCATCTATCTCCTAAGGCTGTAAGAAGATTAAATGGACCAATGAACAAAGAAAATTAGCAAAATGCCTGATACAGAGCAAGGAATGAGTGTATGTTAGCTCTAAGATAAATGTATTAGGTATATTCAGGTCAATGCAAATGCGAGGGGGAAAAACTGACATGAAAGCAGGTTTCATTTTTTTTTAAGCTATGATATGTCTCAGTGTTACTGGAATAGAAGCAGACTGTGAGACCTTAGAGACCCTCTAACAGAGTTAAACATGGAGTGACAATGTTGTTTCGCCTGATTTACATCAGACTTTTGTTGTTAAAGGACAATTTCCTCAATATGCTCAATACAAAGCATTTATTCACCCAGATAATAGATACAAATCCATGCATTCAAATGTTCCTTGGAGTCAGAGATCAAGATGGAAATCCCCAGAATCACAGAGATTTGCGTCTATAAACTTGCTTATTAAATTCACATTCAAGGCGGTTGGAAGGGATAGTGTCAGCTTTTTAACCAGAATCTTTTCATTACTTCTCCCTGTTGGGGTGGTAGCACATGCTGTGAGTGACCTCCAGAGATCCTCAAGCGGTATGCAGAGAGCAAATTGAATCTGAAAGCTTTATTAGACAAGTTTGTCTTTCAGCTGGTGGGAATGGATGTCAGCTGTATTGGAAAAAATAAAATTTCTTGTGAAACTGGATCCTGACCTTGAAAAAAAAATCTCAATTCAAAGTGCAGGATTCAATTCTGAGTTATTTCCTTATTTGTTTAACAAGGAGAGCAGGTTTAAAAGAAGAAGGTACAACATTTTACCTTTAACAAATAAGAATCAGTAGGAAAAATAAAGAACTTCTCTTCTGATCTTGCTGGACTTAGTAAGCAAAAATGCTTATCACCAAGCTGTAGGGTTAAAAAATATATACGCTGCTATCAACGAAGCAATTTTTCTCACTCGCTTCAATATGAGAAGTAGAAGGATCTCCTCCAGTTATAATAAATAGTAAACATTACAGGAAGTTTATATCTTTTATTCATAAGTTTTAAGAATAAAGAATAATCCTGGGTATAAAGCTGAAGTGACAATGGAGACGGACTAATTTGTTCTATTTCAATATTGCCTTCTAGGTTTTTAATGGCATGATATTTAGTTCTTGACTTTTAATGTTGGAGAACAATAATTTTTTTTGAAGTTATGATAGTTATCTCAGAAGCAAGGATTGAAGACACTCACCAGGGCCGTAGCGAAAAGAGGGCGTTTCCCAGGAAGCGGGACCTCCCCAGCGAAGCCCCCACAACTCCTCTGCCAGATGCCTCGGCCTCCCCCCTGTCTCCACACCAAAGAGCCAAGTCACTGGACAGGAGGTCCACGGAGTCCTCCCTGATGCCTAACCTGCTGAATTTCAAGAAAGGCTGGCTGACTAAGCAATATGAGGACGGCCAGTGGAAGAAACACTGGTTTGTCCTTGCTGATCAAAGCCTGAGATACTTACTACAGGGATTCGGTGGCTGAGGAGGCAGCTGACTTGGATGGGGAAATCGACTTGTCTGCCTGTTATGATGTCACAGAGTATCCAGTCCAGAGAAACTACCGCTTTCAGATACACACAAATGAGGGCGAGTTCACCCTCTCTGCTATGATGTCTGGCATCTGGCGGAATTGGATCCAGACCATTATGAAGCACGTCCACCCGGCCTCAGTCCCAGATGTGACAAGGTCGTTGCCAGAGGGAAAGAACTGGAGCAGCTCCTCCTCTGAGACCTGCTGGAGGTCCAGTGAAAAGCAGGAGCCAGACCCTGAGCAGAGGAGGGGCCGGGCTGAGGAGCGGAGGCGGGAGGGGCGCTCCAAGACCTTTGACTGGGCCAAGTTCTGCCCCATCCAGCAGGCGTTGGCTCAGGAGAGGGCTAGCGCCACAGCGCCCTCCGACGCCCACCCTGAGGCAGAGCCAGGGGAGATGGGGCAGGAGCGTGTGCGGCGACGGGAAGAATGCCGCAGGTGCATCGGGACGCTCGATGCTGTGGACAGGCCAGGCACCGACGCAGCCCTGCGGATGGAGGTTGACTGGAGCCTGGGGCTGCCTGGGGCCACCAACCTCAAGACACAGAATGTCCACGTGGAGATCGAGCAGCGGTGGCATCAGGTGGAGACCACCCCTCTCCGGGAGGAAAAGCAGGTTCCCACTGCCCCCCCTGCAGCTATCCTCCTCTGAGGTTGGAAGTGATCAACTCTCCACTTACGAGCTAACCTCACTGCTGGAAAAGGAGTTGGAGCAGAGCCAGAAGGAGGCCTCAGATCTTTTGAAGCAGAACTGGCTCCTGCAGGACCAGTTGAGGGTGGCTCTGGGCCGGGAACAGAGTGGCTGGGAGGGCTATGTGCTACAGGCCACATGTGAGCAAGGCTTTGCAGCAGTGGAAGAAATGCACCAGAAGATCGAAGACCTGCAGAGGCAGCACCAGAGGGAGCTGGAGAAGCTGCGGGAGGAGAAGGACCACCTCCTGGCCGAGGAGACAGCGGCCACCATCTCAGCCATCGAAGCCATGAAGAACGCCCACCGGGAGGAGATGGAGCGTGAGCTGCGGAAGAGCCAGCGGTCCCAGATCAGCAGCAGCAATTCAGACATTGAGGCCCTGCGGAGGCAGCACCTGAAGGAGCTGCCGTCAGTGCAGCAGGAGCTGGAGGTCCTCTCGGAGCAGTACTCACAGAAGTGCCTGGAGAACGCCCACCTGGCCCAGGCACCGGAGGCCGAGTGGCAGGCCCTGCGGCAGTGCCAGCGGGAGAACCAGGAGCTCAACGCCCACAATCAGGAGCTAAACAACCACCTGGCTGCGGAGATGGCCCAGTTACTGACGCTGCTGACCGGGGACACTGGCGGGGAGGCTGCTGGCTCACGTCTCACACAGGGGAAGGACACCTATGAGTTAGAGGTCTTATTGCTGGTCAAGGAATTGGAAATACAGTACCTAAAGCAGGAGATCAGCTCTCTCAAGGATGAGCTGCAGATGGCATTACGGGAAAAGAAGTATGCTAGTGACAAGTACAAGGACATCTACACCAAGCTCAGCATCGTGAGGGCCAAGGCCGACTGCGATGTCAGCAGGCTGGGGGAGCAGCTGAAGGCTGCAACAGAGGCACTGGGCAAAAAGCCCCCTGAAAACACCCCCGTGACAGGATATGATATAATGAAATCTAAAAGCAATCCTGACTTCTTGAATAAAGACAGATCCTGTGTCGGCCGGCAACTCAGAAACGTCAGATCCAAGTCCGTAATTGAGCAGGTCTCATGGGATAACTGAAACGAGCCCGCTTCCAGGTCCCCTGTCATAGTCTGAAAGAAGGCCTGACAGTATAAGAACACTTGAAGCTCTTTGAATCCAGGGACTTGAAGAAAGACTAGCTGTATCCCCTTCAGCTTGAATACACACCCTGCCCGGCTTGCGTGGCACCACCCAAGTGCTGTGTTCTGTCTGTACCTTTCTTCTTCTTGTCATCATTAACTGTGGGTATGGATGCATGAGAGACTGGTTTATGGGCTCACACCATTCGCTGCCGTGTTGATTCTGACTTGCTATTTGTCTTTATCCAGGCTTTCTCCCATGGTTTCTAAAGTCAGCCAAGCAGCAGGGGCCTGGAGGGCCGCGTGCTCTGGACAGGTCTGTTCGTCCCCTCCCTGCTTTGGCCCACGCACTCACTGTCAGTATTAAGGCCCAGCAGCCTGGCGATAAGCTAGCTGTGTCCCTCTGAGCCCCGCATGGGGTCAGGGCCCCACAGCACCAGCTCTGCTGTGCACCAGGTCGCCTGGAGCAGGAACAAGCCTTCAGGACGAGGTTCGGCCTGGATCACAGCACTGACAGGTCACTAGCCTGCAGAGGAGTGGGAGGAGCAGGGCAAGGGGCATGGCCCACGACCTTGACTTGCACCTTCTGGCTTGGGAGGAGGAGAGCATTTTGTACTTGTTCCTCTAATGCAGCTTAGAACCACACCCCAGGTAATGGTGGTAAATCTTCCATAGCCTGGAAAATGTTGAAAGCAGCCATTCCTATTTTTGTTTGTTTTTTATTAAATCTTGCACACACACAAAAAATAATTCAGACTTTTTTCTATTCTAAGTCTATATTACAATTTAGGCACTGGTACAGTTAGAGCTGATAGCAATTTTGCATAAATATTAGAATAGCTAGATTGAATATCTGTTTAACGAATGCAACATGGATTGACAAGTGCTTTGGAAAATGTGATTAAAACATATTTCCTTAAAAAATATTGCAGATGAGAAAAAGAATAAACTGTATAAAATTTAGGAAGATGACAGCATGTTAGACTGTAAAGTAGAGGTTCTCAAATTGGTTATCAAGACATAGTTGAGAATTAGAGTTAAAGAAAGAGATGGGGGTTTGATTTAGCCAGCAAGATCTGAATCAGAGCCACAGCATACCCCAGATCAATACTGCAGTCTTAAAAAGAAATTGGGATTTACCACTGAGAGTGTGAGCTGGCAGCCATGTCTAAGCAGAAAAGAAGTCGAGATCTGTAACAATACTGAAGAGCACAGGGAACAACTCAGATGTGGGTTTGAGTCCAGATTCTGCCACTAAACTGCTGGACAAGCATATAATCACTTAATCTCTCTGTTATTTTAATTATATGGGAAGCTGACTTACTTGAGCCAGCTCTAAAATAAAATATTCTTTTCATTCAGCCAAAATATATTAGCTGAACACCTACTATATGCTATTCATTGAATAAGAGCTGCATACACAAAAGAGGGCATCCATTGATAGCAAGATACAGAATCCTCTTGGAACTTAACAGTCTATTAGGGAGTGAAAATTGAATCACGTAAAGAGTTTAGTAATCAAAATTATGATAAGGATAGGAAAGAGAAGAAGTATGCTTTGAGATTGTGTAATAGGCTCAAAGAAAGTCCTGCAGAATAAAAGATGCAGAAGAGTTCTAGGATGAATTAGGGGAGAGATCATCCAGGTCAAAGGGGAGTAGGTGTAGGAACCCTGAGCCCAGGAAGAAGTAGATATGCTAAAGGAACTGAAGAAAGTCAGAGAGGCTGGGCTTTGAAGAAAAAGGGGGTCAGTGGAACAAGAAGGGCACTCAGAGGAACCATCATTTAAGAACTTGTGGCCATGTTAATGGTTTGGAGATATATTCTAAAAGCAGTGGGACACTGATCAAAAATTATAACAACATGAGATTTACATTTTACATTATTCTTCTTCGTGGACTATATTTATAAGGGGAATGGGTTAGAGGGAGGTGAACGAAGTCAATTAGGAGGCAAGCATCCACATAAAATATGAGGGTGGCAGAAGAAGGGATGGAGATGAATATTTGAAAGATATTTAGGTAAAACTGGCAGGATTTGGTGCTTGATTGTATGAGGTGAGTGAGGGAGAAAGAGTGTTTACCTAGGATCACCTACTGGTGCTGACTTCAGTGTATGGTGTTGCCATTTCCTGAGTTAGGGACTACAAGCAGAGAGGAGGGGAGAATAAATTCACTAGTTCGGTTTGAGACATGGTGGATTTGAGGAGTCTGAGAAATATCCAAGTGCAGATGTTGAGTGAGTTGTTGGATATATGAGTTCTCCTGAATTCCCTCCAATCCGCATTTTGTCCCCCTACTACTCTGTCCACTAAATCCAAAGTTGGTTCTCAGGCTTTATTTTACTAGACTTATAGGGAACAACTGACACACTTTATTGATTGCTTCTCTTTAATTCACATCTTTCACTTGCCTTCTAGGATTCTGTCCTAGTTTCCCTCCTGCTTCACTGAGTACTTATTACTGTATCCCCTACTTCTTACCACTGAGGTCCTCCAGGGCTTGATTTTTGCATATCTTCTCTTTTTTATCTATATTCACCCCTGGGCTTTAACAAGCACAATCTCATGGCTCAGTTATATGCTAAAAGTTTGCATATTTACATCTCCAGATTGGATCTCTCTCCTAGCCTGCAGGTCATATATCCCTTTACCTATTCTACATCTCCAGCTGGATAACTACCAGGCATACGGAGCTTCATACGTATAAAGCAGAGATTTTTTTTCTGTTGCCTCCTACGCTCTGTACCTCCTACCATCTTCCCTAACTCGGTAAACGACAGCACCATTCTTACAATTTGCTCAGGTTAACAACCTCATCATATTTTCTTCCATCAAAAAATGTCAATGAATTCTGTTGGCTCTAACTTCAAAACACATCCAGAATCTAACCATCTCTCTTACTTGCATTGTCCCTACTCTGGAGCACACTTACCATCATTTCTCACCTAAATTCTTGCATTAGTCTAATTGGTATTCTCTTGCCTCTACTCTCCTTACAGTTTATTCTTAATGTAAGAATAGAAATAGGTTAGCATAAGCATAGCCATCTTAAAAGCCTAGAAGCCATTTTCTGAGTATGTGACTTAGAAAGAAAAACTGGAACTGGGTAAGGCCTTGAAAAACAAGCTAATCATGAACACCAGATGGTGGGCAGCTGTGGCCTTTAGTCAGCTAACCTTGGTCAGCTAATCCTACATACCAAGCTTATCGTGCAGAACCTCCCTGACAATTGAGGAGTGGTCTTATCTTGCTCCTGCCTAACCCCAGGATGTATGTCTTGCAAGAATAATGTGTAGCTGTGGAAAATTACTATGAGTTAAGTGTTTTGAAAATGCTATATAAACCCTTGGCTTTGAGTGCTCGGGGTCCTTGTTGAGACCCGCTGCGTCGGGCTGACATTGGACCCCAGCTAGCTGGCTGAATAAAGACTTTGCTTGAATTTACATCTCTATGCCTGTGTAGTTTGTTCTCTGGAGAAGCCTCGGAAGCCCGGACCCTAACACTTAATACATTCAGAAAATGTTTGCCAAAACATATGGCCAGATCATCTCAAACTGCCTCCCTTAGGACTTCATCTGACACAAAGTCAAAGTCATCCTAAAGGTTTTTAAAGCTCTACTTGATTTAACATCATCTCTTAATGGCTCTCCACTTCACTTACTGTGCTCCAGCTACATTGGAGCCACAACAGAAAAAAACAATATGGTAAACACACTTGGAAGGGTAGGGGGTGGGGGCACAGAGATGTTTATACATTTAAGAGACAGCTTTTTTGTGGATAGGCATGGGTACTCACCTGATTTATGCCAGAAAAGAAAAGTCTGAAGGGAGATTAACAGACTTCAAAGAATGTCTAAATGTGTGAGTGGCAATGTTCTTTTCCTACCCCAAAAATAATTTAGACAATAACTGGAACTTGGGTTAGGCAGTTGAAAGACTATCTTCACTGTAACAGCAGTGGTGGAATTCCACCTACTCTTCAATTTTTAGTAAGAGAGTAGGCAGTTAACCTTCTTAAGATCGCTTCTGAGAGAGAGCCTTTCTTAAAGATAGTGAGAACTCTAGACAAGATTGAGTGACCTCTCAAAGACCTTTCAAATCACAGTCTTACACATGTACAATTTAAGTGCAAACTGCTACAATATCCTTTAGGGATCTTCTTTCTTTCAGGGTAAAATTATACTCAATTTCAAAATGATTCAGCAAAACTTTAGGAAATATTAGGAATACATGGAGAAATCTTACTTTTGTGGGCTGTGAGGTGCCTATTCTCATGAGTATGTTTAAATAATTGCAATTTCCCCTTGATAATAGTTTGAGAAGAAATTCAACATTATTGTATACTCTAAGTGATTTTCAGCAGAGGTCCTTTTTTGGAGGGAGTTAAATAATATAAGAAGGCTAAGATACTTTTACTATAGTGAACCCTTTATTTCTATTAAAATGCAGGATATAAATAAATGAAAAATCCTCCAGTGAGAATACTTTATTCAACCATTGATGTTATTCTCCTCCTCCTCCAACATACACATACACACTCTCTCTCTGTCTCTGTCTCTCTCTGAAACTTCTAAGAATGATTCCCACAAGCATTAGAAATTACATTATCAGAGCTTCTCTTTTGCCAGTCCAGGTCCCAAAGCATGGCCCTAACTGGAGATGGTAACCAAGAAATAAAACTGCCAAAAGGTTAAGAGAGTGAGAACCAAGGGAATTTCATCACCACCAAATGGATAATTAATACGTGAATACTCTAGTTTTCTCCATATATCACTGTCTTGGATATTAACAATGACAGAACTGCTGTATCCACCCTGTCAAGCAGAGGATGTTGTTAAAGACCTTGGCCCGGGACCAGGAGCTCCCACTGCCTGCATGGAAAGACTTCTTTCTGATCAATGTGAACACTGAGACCTCCCCAGGCAGGGTTTACTGTTGTCACTGCCCTTTGTGTAGTGCGACACACCTCCTTATATTTCAAGTACCCTCACCTCACT